GCGGGCGCCGCGCGCGAGCCGCCCTGTCGGGGCCCCGGCGCCCTGGCCCTCTGTCTGCTGCGGGCCCACTTGAGGGCCCACCGCTCTCCCCAGTGTCCCCAGGGCCTCGGGGGCCCCCAGAGACAGACCCCGATACGTCAGCATCGACACCTGGGCTCCCATCTCTGCTCCTGGGGGAAGGAGCCAGCAGGGTCCAGCCCCAGGCTTCTCGCCCCTTGAGGGCCACCGCTCCCCGCCAAGGCCTGGCAGTGACTCAGCATTGCAGGAGAGGAGGGGTGGGGGGCAAAATAGGCCGGAAGCCAGGACTGGACTACCCTTCCAGAACAGAGACATTCTGAGGTGCTGTCCTGACTTGGCCATTCTCTTCAACCCCCCCCCCCATTTATTTCAAGCAATCAGCCTTCCAGCACCGCCCCCCTCCCCCCAGCATCCAACAAGATGGCCCCTAACTGGGCAGAGGGACAGAGGGACAGATCTCCAAGTTGGGCCTGATACTACAGCAGTTCTGAGGTTAATAGGAGAGAAGCATTAAGAGAGGACTGAAGACCCCTGAAATCCAACCCCCTCCCCCACCCAAGACTTCCTGGAGCTTCAGCAATCACTAAATGTTCACCACAAGGTTCAATTCAGTATGTGGTGCCCAGGGGTTGGTGGGGTCTCAGCTGTTGTTCTCACAGGCAATCAAGGGGTCAGACCAACAGCCCTACCAGTAGGTACCAAGAACAGATCTGTGGTCCATCTAAAAGACCTGGGGGAAGGGTGCCATGGGAGAAGGGGACTGGCAAGGAGGTGAGCAGGATGGGCCTGTCACTATAAATCCTACCATATTGATCCTGTCAATAATCATATACCTGCTGCATCAAACTCATGTCCTTTCAGAATGGGGCTTGTAGCAGCAGGTAAAGCTCAAGGGATGTGAAACCCAGGGACCAAGCAAGGTTGGTTGAGTTTGTTTCCTCAGGTACAAAGATACTTTGCCTATAGGAGCATAGTAGGTGCTGGTCCACAGTGTGGCTGATCCTTCCCAGAGGGCTCCAAAATGTGCAAAGTTTTCCACCCCTGACCAAAGCAAGTGTGAAGAAAGGAGCACCCCCTCTAAGGCCCCTTGCAACATCCCCACTATGAGCCTAGGAAAGCGATCCTGTGCCCACTGTCCTGCAGACAGTGTCAGGGAACAGAGAGAAGGTAGTGTGGGCAGGGACAGCTGAGGCAGGTGGCACTGCCAGTGACTCAGCAGTGGGCAGCCTGGGCTTAATTCCCAGTTTCCCACCCCCTCCCAGAGCTTCGAGGTTCCCATCTTAGTGGGTGGGAGCTCAAAAGAAGGCATTGTAATGCTACAAACTGTAGATTTCCAGATCAGTTCAAGACTTGCTACCAGCCAAACAGGGATCCTAAAAGGAGGCCACCAACCAAGAATGCTTTAAAAAAAAAAAGATCTATTTATTTTTTTTTAAAGATTTATTTATTTGTACATACAGAACTGGGGTACAGGCCAGAGGCTCAGGGGCGGTGAGAGGCTTCACCAGAGACAGAGTGGGGAGCAGAACAGGCAGATCGACGAAGTACACTGCTGAGGGGAGCAGCGGGCGAGACAGGAGAGGTCTGCTGTGCCATGTGGTCTCCTCCGGGGCAGGCGGGATTTGAACTCATGCGGAAGTGGCTTCAGCTTCTCAGTGCAGTGCTTTAACCCGCTGCGCCACCAGGGAGGGCCAGATCTATTTATTTATTTATGCATACTAGAGCTGGGGTGCAGGCTGATGCCATGGATGGTGGGTGAGAGTATTCACCGCAGACAGTGGGGAGCAGGACAGGCATATCAACTGAACACACAGCTGAGGGGAGCAGCCGGCGAGACAGGAGAGGTCTGCTCTGCCATCTGGGTCAGCCACCTGGTCAGGGATGGAACTGGAACTTGTGCTGCAGTGGCTGCTGAGAGCTTCATAGTGTTACACTTTAATCACTTGCACCATCAGAGAAGGCCTCAAGAATGCTTTTGCCTTTGCTTTCTTACCCTTTGGTCCAGTTTGAGATAGTGATGGATTGGTAGGAAGGAATGGAGAGCTCGAGGAGAAAATGGGTAACAAAAAATGGGACCTTCGCATGCAGGCCTGGGATGCTCTGCCTCTGGAGAGCCCCAGCTGAGCCTTTCCAGGATGTTCTGCTTCTTCCCTCCCACAAGGCAGCAGTAAGGTAAACAAGTCTGTGGCCGGGGAACCCCCTGGCGGGGCCCTTCTCTCCTGCTGACTGGTCAGGTGGTCCGGCAGCGGCAGTGAGTCAGCATCCCATGACCGCCAGCATAACAGGGGCTTCCCCCAGCCCTGGTGCTGGCTCAGAGACATCTCTCTAGGCAGCAGGGTGGTAAGGGGTCGAAAGCAGCTGCACAGGCCTCAGCCAGCTCCTGGAGCCAAAGGAGACCACAGAGGCAGTGTGGCAGGAAACCAGAGACAGCCAGACCCTGTTCCCATGATACCAGAACCCATTCTGGCATCTGCTGTTCTACTTCTCTTGGGCTCCTAAGACTCCCCCCAACCTTCCCTGTGCTCACTGGCCCCCTTCCCCATCCTCCAGGACATGACAGCACTCTGCTGGGGGGAGGCTTAGCTCCTGAGTCAGGAGACCCCGCTATCCACCATCTCGGACTAATGACCTGCCTCTCAGTTTCCTGAAAGGCAATGTTTAAATGCAGTGATGACCCCTAGGTGTTCTGGGTGTTGTTTGACTGACTTCAGGGGTGTCACTTGGGGGAATATGTATCAGAAAACTACAGTTGAGGTGAGGTGAGGTGAGAGCAGGGAGCATAAAAGAGACCTGAGAAGAGGTCCTGGGAAACAAGTTAGGTGGCCCTGAGGTAGTCTGATTTGGTCTATAGCTGTCTAATAACCTTTTCTTCAATTCGCCCTTCTGCCCTGACAAAGATAATTCCATCCCTTGGGGATCATCTTCTGATGGTGTACAGCCAAGCTTTACAAGTGGGTGCTGTAGCAGCCAGAGAAAAGGCCACTGCCGAACTCAGGCTCAGTTGCTCTGGCCCACCCCAAGGATCACAGGGGATTGGTCCACTCCAGCCCACAGTGCTAGGTTGAAAGGATACAGTATGTTTCTACATGGGGAAACAGGGTTGAGATGACAGTGGGTGGCTTCAGACCACAATGCCCTGGCACTTTCCTGCCAGTCTTTTCCACTCTCCCCCAGGAGGGACACACCCCTTGCTCTGTTTCTAGGGCCAACTTATTCCAGCTGGTGACTTTTGTCTGGCTACTTGTCTTTCCTCCTAGGGCAACCGTCTCCTCATCCTGCAACTCTTACTTCCTCAGTGAGGCCTTCTCTGACCACCACCCACTTGGAAAGATTCCCAGCTTCTGTACACTACCACCCTTTTTTTTTTTTTTTAAGATGTATTTATTTATGCATACAGAACTCAGGTAGAGGACAGAATTGCAGGGGATGGGTGTTGAGAGGATTCACCAGAGACAGGGTGGGGAGCAGATTCACTGAAAACACTGCTGAGGGGAGCAGTGGGTGAGACACGAGAGGTCTGCTGTGCCCTGTGAGTCAGCTCCCTGGCCTGGGATTGAGCTCCTGGGGCAGTGGCTGAGGACAGCTTCACAATGCTGCACTTTAACCCTTGTGCCACCAGGGAGGCTCCTGGACACTACCACCTTTTAGTCCTTCCTGCAAAGTACACAAACTGCTCATGGGGGTGAGGGGAGGCGAATTTGAAAAGAAAATGATTCATTAGTCATCATCAGGAAATGAAAATAAGCCACCATGAAACATGGTTGGGCAGTGTGGGAGCACCTGGTCCCTCCTGCCCAGATACTCTAGGGCAGGAACCATAGTTCAAGGCCTGGCTTCCAGGACCTAGAATGGGGAGAGGATGGGAAGACAACTGAGTTCTCCTGGGGCTCCAGCACAGGATTGTTATCAAGCGTTTCACACCACGCCATGGTAACAGCTTTCACCAAAGCTTGCGGGGGGGGGGGGGGGGCACGGGGAACAAGGGGAGAAGGAGGCACACTGCTGAGACCTCAGACAGCACCAGGACAGGTCTGTATATCAGAGACCCACAGAATGGCAGAAACACTCACTCAAGTGGGCTGTGCAGGAAGTTGTAAGCTGAGACCTCTCCCCATGGGCGTCTAGCAGGGAAGGAGCTTGTGGCCTGACTGAAGCCATGACTAGTGATCAACAGGGGAGGGGCACCTCAGAGCCCCCCACTCCCCCTCCCCACCACCAAAGCCAAAGCCAACTGAGGGGAAGGTGACCCGACTGGCTGTGGTTGCGGAGTCTTCCAGGTCAGCAGTTCCCCTCCAGCCTATGTCTGGCGGAGTCCTTGGCCAGCAGAGGACACCGCCAGGGCCTCAGTTTCCCAAGCGATAAAGAGCTCCCCCTTCGCTGGGGAAAGTATCCCTAGCTCCTAGAGTCATATCCTCTAGTCCAGCATGCCTCCAACATGCCGCAAGTCCACCAAGGTGGGGAGGGGTAGGGAAGGGCCTCGGCCTCCAACTAGGTTAACTACTGGGAAGGCATGGCCCGGCCTCTCACCAGCCTCTTTCCCTCCCCAACCCCCCTCTATAGGCCTCAGGAATTGCTGAGGGGGGTAGGAGGGGAGTGGGAAGGCAAAGCAGAGGGCAAGACTAAATACCCAAGGTTCTGAAAAAACAAAAGGAGGCCCCATGAGGTGTGGTGGGGGGAGGAGTGTTTATAAAGAAATTGCGAGGTAAGAAACAGGTCCATCAGACAGAACAGCAAAGATGCCTGGCCTTGGCCACAGGGTATATGGGGAAAGCAGGAGCCAGAGAACGGAGGCAGGAGAGAGGTCAGCATGACACTCTCCTGGGAGGCACCAATCTTAACAGAGCCACA